GTTTTGTTTGTCTTTAAAAACATATAAAATAGTAATTATCTTCTGTACCTACATTAATTATAACCGCTAAGTATCTGTTAATAATAATGTAGCTAAATTATTTTAAATAACTTTATTTAACTAATAAACCACAAGTAACATTTACGACAAATGACGTGTGGTCACTTGAGCCATATTCATTACTGTACGTTTATAAACAACGATCATATTACACCATACTACATATGGACACATGACTGTCATTAATTTAATAAACATTACAACGCTTATTGTTAATAGCAAAAAATATCAATTAAATATATTTATAGTAGAATTGATGGGCACCGAACTATCTATATAGAATGTAATTTTTACATGGTAGGTATCTAAGAAAGCAGATAGATATGAAGGGTTGAAATTGGCCAATTTTTCAGTACTTTTTAATAAATAGATACCTTTATTTTATAGCCTTTAAATTCTAGACTGAATGAGCAAAACCTAACCAAGAAAGAGACTTGTATACTAGCAAGAAAAAATTGAAAGATGCAGATTTTTTGTCTTAGAAATATATAAGGTGCCCCAAGAATTATAATTTTTGTGAAATGTGCAATGTGGTTGACTAAAACGAAACAGAAAACAATTTCGTTTATTATTGCGACGGTAATCGAAGAAGTCAAAATGGCAAGGACAAATTTGAAATTACAAAGTTACGATTATAATTTTAAGTCTTGTAAAAACAACCGATATCGTAACAGCAAGACGAAGACCAAAAAGTAGGTCTTGCGTTTACTCATCATCAATGTGAATAGCCAAAGTCGACGCTCTTTACAACTTGACAACTTTTAAGAACTACAATAAACACAAAGTTTAAGTTAAAGAGTTGAGTTTTAAAACTTTTTTTAATAAGTACCGCAATGGTGATCATTTCGTCGCGCAATGTCTTCTTCAGGAAGAAATGATTATTGTGGTATTTAATAAACTGTTTTGTAAGTCTGAAAAATATTAATTTTAACAAAAGATTTTATCCTGTGTCTTGATAAGTGCCTAATTTGCTCAGCTATATTAATGAAAAATAAATTTGCCTTTGCTATCAATTAAAACTGTTGTAAACGTCATTCTGTTGGGGATCGAGACGTTTTCTCGCTATCTATTTATACGGTCAATGTCACTAATAAATCTTGTACCGTTTTATGTAAACGTCTTCGCATTGAGAGACACTGTAAAGGTAAAAAAAATGTACAGCGTACAGGTTGTCATCAAAAAATAACCGAGAGAGCATACACCTCGCAAAACAGGTAGGCGGTTAAAAATTCCGTTCGTTTAGTTTTTATATGGGACGCTTAAACAATCCTGATGATGAGCACATTAGGTGTACAAAATGTTTATTACTAGTTCAATGTACTTTAAAATACTGTTTTTATGACAAATGTGCAAAAATGTGCTCGACCGTGGCGCCAAAATACGTAATTTCTTACGTAGATGACAGATGGCATGTTTGCAGAACGAGCCCGTGGCGAGTTCCAAATGAACCTGTCCCTTGTGGGATAAAGTCAACTGATATCCAACAACAATAATTCAATTCCTGAAACCAGGCGCAATTATTATGCATATATGCACACATGAAAATGACTGCCAAGTCCGAAAAAGAGAAAAGCGTGACAGCATGCAATTTCGGAGTTACCTTCTCAAAACTCATAAGTCGTTACACCTATACACTTGCTATTTTGAATGTGTAATAAGTCCCCATAGAGCATCCAGAATCCCAAATTTCATGAGTACGCCTGCTGTAGTTCTCCAGTTATTATAATAAACCTGTGGTAGTTATTAAAGCCTAAAAAGTGCTCAATATCTCTCAGTCAGACAATTAAAAATCTAGACCGCTTTTATGTAACTTAGAAATTTGAAAGTTGATTTCAAAGTGCATCTTTAGGTGTGTCATCATCATCATTAAAGTCGTCACTCCTAAGACCGGTTACACACGGATTTCCACTTTTTTTTGCTATCCTGAGCTAATCTTCTAATTTTCCTAAAACTAGATCATTTGTGAACATTAATCTAATCTAGGTCTACCTCTGTTCCTCTTAACTCCTGTTTCTATTTCTGTTATGTCTCTAACTAGCCCTTCGTACCTGAGGAGGTGTCGTACCAACCTATCTCGCCACTAGATGTGTAAGTACATTAACAAAAACATGAATGAGAAAAGGAGGAGGCCATGTTGGGTACAATTTACGTTAAATTTCAAACTTTATTAGTTAGTTATTAGAACTTAGCACCCAACGAAGCCGGCAACCCCGATCGTCGTTTGTACTGAATTTGACCCCTTTTTGACATTTAGGTTTTTGTTAAAAGAAATTATAGTTAATTATCCTAAAACTCCTTCGTATTTCTCATAGTCAGTTTTTCTAATTATTTTAAATAAAATCAAAGTATTTTAATTTTGAATTAGTCTTTGTACCTACGTCAATTGTTTTTAGGGTATTCCTATTGTAGATCCAATAAAAGATTTGTGCGTAAATGTAAACCTTAATGTGCAATTCGTTCTCTTAATTTTCCACATTATCGTCATCATAGGAGTAATCGGTTTCATAGGAATTTACTTACAAATGAGTTCAGAATAAGCGCAATTCACGGAGAAACCCGAATTTTTAGGACAACGCAAAAATTACAATTTTGACGTGTTTCTTTCAAACTTATTTCAAGTTTCTTAATTATTACAATTTAATTTGTAATATCAACTAAAATACCCAGTAAATTTGTTTCTGCTGGGATTTATTTTTACAAATTCGGGTCCAATTTGTAATTTTTATAATTTTCGCTTACGAAGCAACGGACTAGTGGGATAAATTGTAAATATCGCTTTAACATTAGGTAAGTTTTCTTTTTTCATTTTCTCCGTGTTGCTTTAAAAAAAGTAGACCTACAATTTGTATAGGTATGGACGAAAAGAAATATCTAATCAAGAAAAATTAAAAATTACCGTTTTTAAAGTTTTAGAATTACTTCATGGAAATGGATGTTACCCAAATTTTACATGACACATTTACAAATTTAATATTTGTCGCCCTAGGCTAGAAATACCTTAGTAGGTATAAAACGTTTTATGTAGAATTTCTCATTTATGACATTTTTAATTATTAATAGTGGTTAATATTGAAATCTGAAGATTAATTTTAATTTAATTGGTTAATGAAAGAACCTTAAATAGTTTGTAGTGGATTGAAAATTAATTTTCACATTAATATTTTTCATTTAGTTCAATTTCACTTTGACTGCCTTCTATTTTGAAAATTATCGTAAACGTTTCGTCGTCAGAAGAAAAAGGGTTAGGTAAGATGTATCAGAAATCATAACATCTGTCTTTCTTGGTATTAAATAGCCGGGTACACTTTCTAATGCTGATACACCTAATGATAATCACTAAAATGCTAATGTATTGTTAGTGCTTTTACAATAAATTAATCACAATGCTCTACGGCCGCAAGACATAACGTATCTACGTATAATACATGAAGTATCGTTATCTACAACACACACATTACTGTGTCTTACCTATTACTATTAGGCGATTTGCAAAAGTAGGAACAAAGTACGAGTGGTATATGATAAATGTATGTAAATGCATCTAGAAAACAAAAGCGGTCTCAGTTTTCACCACGACGAAGTCATTTATCACAATCGACTAACTTTTGTTTTTTAATAAACGGCTAGCTGGCTGGATTTGTCGCAACAAAAGGTTCTGCTACTTTTTACGTTACGGAAATGTCGTCTAAGCATTTTCAATTGTTTTGGTGCCAATTAGGTTTGCCGTTTTCGAAATAAGGTCAAAAACATGTAATTCGTTGTTTGTTTTGCGTTTAATGATACGGCCGGTTAAGTGTACAGTTATACTGCGTAGGCAGTTTACACCCTACTTATTGTTATTCATCGTGATCAAGTTGACTGTGACTCTCTTATCAAGAATAACGAACAATCGAAATGGATCTACAGTATGTCACCGGTCACTCCAGGTCAATTAGATACAGTTTTTATGAACTCCCTTATGAATAGTCCTTCATTTTCCTAATGATTTTCGACTTTATCTGCGTGATTATTTAATTGTTTATTTATTAAAGTAAAATTTTCACTTTTTCTAGCAGTATGGTTATTGCCTTTCTTTTGTTTCCTTAAACAGCTGACGATTAAATAAATAGCAATAAAAAAAAAGTGAAAGCCAAGTTTACTTTCTGGTTGTGCTTATGGTTTTGTAGAGCGCTTTGTGTTTCTTTGTGCAAAATCTAACTTTCCATTGTAATAACGATTATCCAATTCTGAAAGGACAAGGTCATCCAAGTGCCTGTTACGTATTTGAGTACACGGTTGTTGTTGTTGTTCTTAGCGGTGGAGTTTTGACGACCAATAATTTGTATTAAAAATCAATTTTAGAAATAAGATGATAACAAAGACGAAATAATTTCCTCATTCATTAAACTGCGAATAAAGTGAAATATTTTTCTATAGTGCATTGTATTTATGATAGAAATGTAATACTCAATGTAATCGCGCGTTTGTTTCATGATAAGGTCAATAATTGTATCTATATATTGTTATAATAATGTACAATAATGTAAAATGCTTTTTACCAATAGAGTTAAGGTGATCCGTTTCTACAATAGTTAATTAATTGATTAGTTATTTGGATTGTCCATTAATTTCATTATTTATTAGGTAATATTATTTCAATTTTCCAAACAATGGCATTGCAACTGCATTGTTCAACGTTTGCAAAAGTTTTCATTCCAAGCCAAAATGCGATAGTCTGCTATAAGATACGACTGACTAATTAGTCTTTTGTTACTTTATACAATAATAATAATCGCCGATCGGACCTTCCGAATGCAAGCCCTTCTTTAAACACTAGTTTCGAAAACATATGTTGGAGCCGAAGAAAATGTTCAAATATCTTTGCATCCAAAACGGCCTAGTTTTGTTGGGATCCAAAACAAGCAAAAGAAACCAAGAAAACAGAAAAGATAAAGACTTACTTTCGCAATATCCTCCAGAAACAACCGAAGGTGCTCCCGTTGGGTACCTCCCCCGTATAGGTAACAGTCATGACTCCCTATTTGTATATATAGACTACAATATCACAAGAAAAGCTCGGACTCGCGGTCACAAGGTCCTTCTTTTCACAGCACACTGCGACCAGAGATAGCTGAACGCGCACCTTACAGATAAATCTTTGTATACTATTTGTATATGTAGCAGATCTAGGCTCTTTGGTATCGGTGAACCGAATCAACCACCACCTGGGGCACCAGCACTACGTTGCTGTACAAAGACGCACATATGTATGTAATGTAATGTTACCTGTACCAGCGCACACTTATCACCAATACCGACGACTAGCGGACGACAAAACTGGCTGGCTCGGTGCTGGTGCTTCTGATGGTAAGGTGACTGGAAGGTGCTGGTTGTTATGGAGGAGCGGACGTAGCGGGAAGGTGCAGCCGATTCATGGGTGCAGGTGAATGCTGGTGTTAGTGGGGCAAAGGCCCTGGAGTTCGTAACATATAACAATTCGTAACATCATATATCTAGTGCCACCTATGGTTTCCTACAAAAGTTTTCTTATCTTTTCGAAAAGAAAATCGAATTTTAACTTTCGCTTTTTTAGTTTCACTAAAAGACACAAATTGTAACTTTCCATAGATTTTTTGAACCCTTGTCTCTATACAATTCATAAAAATTGCTTGAGTTTTATGATGGGGAAAACTTCTCTTTTCTTTTTAAAAGAAAACCAAATTTTAACTTTCGATTTCCAACATATGAATCACTTTTTCTTCCCACAGAATTTCTTAACCGTGATCTCGACTTAATCCACGAAGTCCCTAATATTCGTAAAAAAACTTCAATAAAATTAATACGAATCTTGTGAACAAAAAATCGAGGAAAGCAAATTTTATCAACTAGAGGATATTCAAAAGGTAGTTTTATATCGACTTTTGCAACTATCATGGTCCATATCCAAATCCATCATTCAACAAATTGATAAAGGCTTCCGTCATCAGTAGGTGAACTAGTTCGGGTATAAAGACTGTCGTCCGTTGGAGTTGCTTCTTAATGTTTCGCTAGTACGAATGGCGAGCTTCTTCTGAAGTCCCTCCATCTGGACATATCTAGTAATGAAGATGGAAAAGGATCTCTGAAGAAGCTCCCATCCGTGCTAGCAAAACGTTAGGAAGCAACCCCAACAGTAAATTATTATGGTAGCCATTGATACTGGTCCTACCTTTACGTATGCAGTAGGTAGATACATACCCACCAACGGTATGTGCTTCACTATATGTCTCAATTATTATGACCCATGGCTCCTTGAAGAGCAACTACATCCGTCCAGAAAAGTGGATGTGATGGTAGTAATTTAACGAACCTTACAGCATGGGATAATGATATTATTGGCAGAGCGATCCCCTTTTTCTAATTCTCCTACTCATATACATCGATAATAAATTAAGTAAAAGAAGCAAATTCAAGAATATGTGCAAAAATCATTCTAAAATATGGCATACTGGAACACTGCTTCAGTGAAGTCGACCCGGGTGCTCGAAATACAAAATTTGTGATTTCATCAAATTGGTAAAGGCTTTCGCGGCTAGTACATGAACTAATGTTGTTCTGATTCGGGTCCTTCCATGTTCAATGCTGGATATGGGCTTTAAAGAAGCTCGCTAGTTACCATTGGACTTCGTTTTATCAGTTTTAAGTTCTTCAGTTTCACTACGTCAAAGTTGTTGATAAAGTCAACGACTCTAGTAGGGAAAAAGGATTGGTACAGGCAGGTTTATACATGGCCGTATTTGTTTGTTGTTAAATTTTATTCCATAGTTGATAAATTTTTAAAACAATTGGTAGGTATAAGAATGACAGGAATAACGGAAAACCAAACTATTCTTCATGAATGTATTTCTGTTCCCATCATAAGCTTTATTGAAACTGAATTAATTACATACTTATTATTACTTTAAAACAACACATTAATAACAACTAGAAAAGTTAGAACTGATAAAGCATTAGAAAAAGTAGGATATTAGAGGAATGACGAAAGGATGTAGGACCCGTCTGAGACATTAAGGACGAAGAGTTAGTTAAAGACAAAATATTAAAAGCAAAGAGGGATGAAAGAAGGCTTAGGTTAGGTCAGGTTTAGTAGGAGGAGATGTGAATTGTTCTAATATCTGAAAAATTGGAAGACTGACAAAAATGTGGTAATTTTGACTAACATTGAGTACAATATATAGGTGCTTTAGACGGAAATATTGCATGAAAACGTAAAAAAGAACACTAGCCCATTAAAAATAGCTATTACATTTTCACACCTTTCAGTACTTCCGATATAATCTGCGCAGATTTGTGCAATTTTGCTTTCTCGAAATCCTCAAGTGGCTGAACAATCACATCGGTGAGTCCATTCTCACCCAACACTGCCGGAAGTGATAAGAACACTTCCTCTTTAATATCATGGAAACCCTGAAAGAAAAGAAATAATTTTTTGGTTTTTTTACCTAACAAAGATACATCGCAAATAATTTTACCTGAACTAGGACTGAGACCGCGTGTATGGTTCTTGCATTTTTGAGGATCGCTTTACAGAGAGCCGAAACGCTGAGTCCTATTGCCCAGGATGTGTACCCCTTTAGTTTAATGACCTCGTACGCACCGTCAACAACTTTTTTGTGAAGTTCAGCCCATTCCTCGCTGCGGTGTTTTGAACCAAGCGATAGGATTAATTCTTGTAAACGCACACCGGCGACATTGACGCCAGACCAAACAGCAACTGAAATTATTTGTAGTATTCAAAACAAAAAGGTAAAACACTGTAAAATATTAAATTGTAATAGTGTTGCTTACTTTTCTTATGGCTTGTAGAAATTTTAGATAGTTTATGAACTAACTAGACAAGGCGAAACGGTTCCGTATTTTTTTAATTAGCTATCATATCTTCCCTCGGTATTTCTTAGTTTCCAAATTAAAAGCAATTATAGGGTAAAATGTTTTTCATTAACATAAATAAACACTACGACATTCCGTCTTTTGTTTTGAAAAACTTATTCAAGGTACTTAGATTATTTTCTGGTCACTCAAACGTTAATATCCAGTGATGCGGAAATTGTGCACAGGAAATTTGTTGAAGTGTATCGAAAACTTAACACCGTTGTGTAAATAAATTTTACAGCGAATAATATTAATTTGGAAAGTTAATATTATTCTACAAGTTGTTAACGGTGGTTAAAGGTATTCTTCTTCGTTTGCATTAAAATTACGAGGTGAATAACCAATTCCAAACTTGCCTAGTAGCATATTCTAATACAAATGTATAAGGCAAACTGATAATTATATCCCTTCGCCGTCTTACCACTTGAATCTCCATGCTCTCCAATAATCCAACCATGACAGCAGGCTGGGGCAATCCCTAGTCTTTCAGACATCAAAAATCTATAACGGGATGAATCCAAATTGGTCCCTGAACCGATAACCCGGGTTTTGGGCAGTCCGCTTATTTTCCATGCAATATGAGTAAGAATGTCCACCGGATTACTGACAATCAACAGAATCGTATTCGGTGAATATTTGACCAATTGTGGAATAATCTGCTTCATTATGTCAACATTTCTCTGGACCAAATTTAAACGAGATTCTCCCTCTTTTTGGCGCACACCAGCTGTTACAATGCAGATCCTAGACCCAGCGGTAACTGCGTAATCTGCATGGAAGGACTATTTATTTATGATAAAGTCGAAAAATGATTGTGCAAGTCTTACCAGTGCTTGCTACAATTTTAGCGCTTTCGATAAAGAATGAACCATGTTGTAGATCCAACATTTCACCCTGTAGTTTATCTGGGACACAATCGACCAAAGCTATGTCATTTGAAATACCCTGCAAGTAACCATATTGAGTATGTCGTCAACTGTTCAGCAGGAATTACAAAACTGATCGAAATAATGATCAGATCACTTTAGAAGCCTCGATACTGAACTTGCCTTCTTGTAAAATGAACGAATTAACTTACCATGTTCAGGATACTGAAAGCACATGCCATTCCTACAGAACCCACCCCAACCACTGTAATTTTGTTACCGGAATTCTCTAAAGGGGATTGGACGCTGGTAAGCAAAGTGTCTTTTGTGGAGAATTCGCTCATGGTTGCCGTTTGTTATCTGAACACAAAAAATAATTAATTTTCTTATGCTATTTACTTACTCAAAACTAAGAAAATCTATCACCTTCACTTGATTTTACAAAATCAGGAGCAGAAATGTTTGTTTTGTTATAAAGCAAGTCTGAAGAACGTTTGCAAAAATATTTGCTACGCGTGGTTCATAAACGTTATCTTTAACATTTAACGGAAAGGTCAAAGTTATCTGTTTAAAGGGTCAATATTTTTCAGTACAAACAATAAACACATATTATTCGGCAACAAGTATTTGGTATTTTTTTAGCACAATTGTTAAACTAGCGAGGCAGATAGTAACGTCGCCTGTTTTTGTTACATGACCCTAATCATGACTCTAATGAGGGACTCTTTTACCGCATATCCTAATATAAAACTAATTTGGCCCTTATGCGAATACCCTACTTGAACCCTGCTAGGAAATACTGTGTAAAAAATGACTTAACTCTGAAGTTGATGCCCTAGCTTAACTCTTTTACGACTTCCCCTATTAAGATTGAAATGACCCTGCTGTGGACACCGTATTTCAATAACCCTTTAACGGTATGTCCTTTTTAGTTTGTTGTGGCCCTAATGTGAATACCCCGCCTAAGCCCTTCTACGGAAGGTTCTGTATAGAATATTTTAGTCTTGAAGTCGATGCCCTACCTGAACTGGACACCCTATTGTAATAACCCGTCCTTTTTGCTTTGTTCTGTCGTAATTAGAATGCCTTATCTGAACTACTCAAGGTAACTCCATTTATGATCCAAACCTTACTTGAAGTCAGCTATGCAAAATAGGGTCCACACTGTTCCTTCAAATTCAATCAAGCAAGTACATCGATGAAAAATGTAAACAGTGACGGTTGTAAAACGACTGATACTACTTACACGCTCATTGTGTAATAATTAATTAAATAATTACTTTGTTCATCGCTAGTATGAAGTACAATTTAAAGTACACTTCGGCATGATATTAATAACACAAAAGACGATGAAATAAAGTGTTGCAAAATCGTATTTCCCTACGAAATCCTACCAGGGCCGCACTGGTCCTTCACTATTGGGTCTTTTTCGAAATTTACTAATTTTATTGTATTTTGGTTGATTAGCAAGTAATTAAATTTTTTCCGATAAAATATGAATTGAATAACATCCCAAAAAAATGATTTCTAAAACCAAAATAAATTTAATGTATATTCAGTTAAAACGGTGGTTACTTTCGCTTAGTTTTCATAAAATGAAGCACAAACGATGGTAAAACATGTATATTCACTTTGATAATCTCAAGTACAACACGAAAGCGCTTTTGACAAAAATATATGTATGTATGTATAGTGCAATTTATAAATGTTATCGTATGATTATAAATACATTCGACACGTGCAGTACATGTTACATTATAAAAAAAATAGTTGTATACTTAAATCAACAGAGCACCTAGAAAATGTAAATCAAAAAATTATAAAAACAGGGTACAGAAATATGTAAAAATAAAATACTGGCTCATAAAAACAACAGGACAATACTGAATACGTGAAAATAACTTTAGCACATTACAATTTAACACCTTTCAGTACTTCCGACATGATTTGCGCAGATTTTTGCAATTTCGCCTTCTCGGAATCCTCAAGCGGCTGAATAATCACATCGGTGAGTCCATTCTCACCTAATACGGCCGGAAGTGATAAGAAAACTTCCTCTTTAACATCATGGAAACCCTAAAAAAATATGATAGGCATATAATGACAATGTTAAATAGGACAAGTTGTGAAATATACTTAAAACTGTACGGAGAGAGAAATGTATACATTTCCTAGGAATTTTATACAATTCCTAGATTTCATACATATCTGGTAACATATAAGTTGAAGATGCGATAAACATCAGTAAAGACAGTACAACTGTAGGGATAGATATAAACAGGTAGAAGATTAGTATGCCTAGATTTGGAGTCTTAGAGTTAGAGATAGGAGATCGGCTAGAACTGTACAGTACTAGACGAAAATGTTTAGCAATTTCTTAAAACAAAAATGTATAGATATAAATTAACAATAGAAAACAAAGCAAAAGTTTTATATGTGTGTAGAACGTTAAGTTAATTCACTTGTTATTATTTTTGGCTAAATATGCTTTTAAATAAAGCATATTCTTAAATTTTAACGAGGCAGTTTAAATAATTTTGCAAATGGTACTGTACACTTTTGTCTAGTTCTCGTTCGATGATCGGTGGAGAAATGAGCTCCGCAGACAAATATGATTGAATTTGGAATTATGCTACGGCGCATCCTAATAAAGGGAAGGGGCATTTCTCTAACTTCCTGAAACGAACAGTAGTTAAGGATGTAGGATGTTCTAGTTTTAGGGAAATGCGAAGATTAGCTCAAGATATAGGAAAAGTGGAGGTGCGTGTCCAATTAGTCTTAGTACTGACAACCTTATGAAGGGAATATGTTTATACATAAACGCCGTCTTTCTCCCCCTTTAAGAACAATAACAATCATAAAATTTGCAATTTTTTTTACCTCAACTAAAACTGAAACCGCGTGAACGGTTCTTGTATTTTTGAGGATCGCTTTACAAAGAGCCGAAACGCTGAGTCCTATGGCCCAGGATGTGTATCCCTTTAGTTTAATGACTTCATAAGCACCATCAACGACTTTTTTGTGAAGTTCACCCCATCCCTCACTGTCGTTTTTTGAACCAAGCGACGGGTTTAATGCTTGCAAACGCACACCGGCAACATTGGCGCCGGACCAAACAGCGACTGAAATAGTTTTCGTTTTAAAAAATGCAAAAAATTACGAGCAGATGTTAGAAACGTTAAAAAACAACAACACAGTTATCACATTTACAAATTCCATACTCTTCTAGTAATTGTCAAGTTGAAATTTGTGATTGTTTATTTTTTGTTGTAATTTTGTGATCGGTTTATAGTAAGCCATAAATTTCTAAACTATTTTTATTAGTGCCAAAATTAAATGACGTATTTAAAGACGTCCCAAGCCAACATTTAAAACTTCTTGCAGTAAAGATTCAAAGTCACTTATAATAAGTCACATGATTCAAAGTTTGTGCAAATGCATACCCATTGTTAAAAGCATAAATACCTTACCTTTAGATTAGTAATTAAAAATATTGAACATCCAGCTGCAAAACTAGTAGCTATATAATGTTAGTATGGTACAACTAAATTCCTTACTTTTCTAAGCTACAAATTGACCGATCATTTATTAACCAAATCTATTAAAAAGCCACTAATGTTTAATAGATATTCAAGGAAAATACAGTGTAAACTTTATATAACGACACTTAAGGGACTGAACATTTTTCGGCGTTATAAAGAGTGGTCGTTAAATGGAAAGAAATAAAATATATTATTTTACTATTCTATAATAATATGCATTTACCAATATAGTGCACACGAACATTATTATTCATACATTGCGTATAGCCTGTTATCTTCGTCTGATGTTTTTTGCTGTTCCATTATTTTAATTGTATTTTGTTACGTATCTTACTCATATCTTGAGATACTGCTGGATCAATTTCATTATATAGAAAGTATTTTTTTAATAGTTTTGCTGCATCAAGTGCTTGTTTGATGCCTGGTGGAGGGACAGGATCGTCTTCTTCAACAACATACACAGCTGCAGTTCTTATCTATTTCGGCAACTTAGAAAGTACTGCTCAATGATTTATAATGCCGCATTGTTGTCGTTAAATAGAGTGAGCGTGACGCTATAAAGAGTGTAATATTGTATAGAAAACAATGTAAACCAACCAAAGTCAAGCAATTTCGACGTTTTAAGGAGTTTGTCGTTAAATCGAGTGACGTTATAAAGAGTTTACACTGTATACAACAAAATCAACACTTACCAAGCAACCAATTGATTGGTTTGTATCACTAAAGATTGTCATGTTCAAACTTTTTCACAATAGGTGCTAACAGTGTTGGTAATTTTGCGTACTTTTCTTATGGCTAGTTACTACTTTTACATGCAGTATGATTAGTACAAATCTTAAATAACTAATTAGATAAGATGAAGCGATTCTTTGGTCTATAGTTAGATAATATCTTCTTGTAATATGTTCGTCATCTTTTGAAAAGTATTAAAATTACCTGGTTAAGAACCAATTCCCCATTTGCCCCGTGCAATTAGATAATGACCGCTACTATTAAATATTTCTGATATAACTGTATAGGCTATAGGGCAAACTGAGAATTTACATACTTTTGTTGCCGTTGTGCGTCTTACCACTTGAATCTCCATGCTCTCCAATAATCCAACCGTGGCAGCTAGTTGGAGCGATTCCCAATTTTTGAGACATCAAAAACCTAAAGCGGGACGAATCTAAATTGGTCCCTGAACCGATAACTCGGGTTTTGGGAAGTCCGCTTATTTTCCAAGCAATGTGAGTAAGAATGTCCACCGGGTTACTGACAATCAACAGAATTGCATTCGGCGAATATTTGACCAATTGTGGAATAATCTGCTTCATTATGTCAGCATTTCTCTGGACTAAATCTAAACGAGATTCTCCCTCTCTCTGACGCACTCCGGCTGTTACAATGCAGATTCTGGACCCAGCAGTTACTGCGTAATCTTCGTAAAAAAATTGTTTATGATAAAGTAAAAAAAAATTGTATTAAATGCATTAAATATTACCAGTGCTGGCTACAATCCTGGCATTTTCTATAAAGCCAGAACCGTGTTGCAGATCCAACATTTCGCCCTGTAATTTGTCCGCGACGCAATCAACCAAAGCTATGTCATTCGAAACGCCCTGTAAAATAAACAAACAGCCGTAGTATGTGATGGTATTAAAATATATCATTTAACAAATCGCATTCATACCATGCTAATTGCACCACTTGTTATCATAACAACATAACTGTGTTATCAAAAACCAACTTTTCATTGAAACAAATAATCGATTATCGCTAATCGTAAAGTAACTTAATGGTTATTATTGTTTTGTTTTGTTGAAGCATTATTTAGGTAATATGGCGTTTCTTTTATTATGGCAATTATCAATATCTTAAAATTTTAACCAAAACTGGCATAATCTAGTTTCAATTGTTTTCAATTAGCATTAATAAATATAATTACGTAGTTTTTTTCCAGAGTGACGGTCAAATAATAACACAACTATATGTTTTTTTAACGTTTCGGTTTATTAAACTATCTTCAGACTTTCGGAGTGTTACTGCTTGTACATAGATATTAACTTATTTTTAAACATTCTTTCAATTTTGAACTACTGCATACAAGTTAATATGTGTGTACAAGCAGTAACTTTTCAAAACTCTGAAGATGGTTGAATAAATCGAAATGTTACAAAAAACATATATGTAGTTGTGTTATTATTTGACCGCCACCCTGGGGAAAACTACATAATTTAATAGTCACAGTCAGGAATCTAACATAAAATAAATATAATATTTAGGTAAATATTTGTGATGCGCATTGTTCTGGCGGTGTTTTAAGAATTGAAATTTTATCTTTTGTATCTCAATTCAGATGTAAGACTAACAGGTATTACAAAACTGGTTGAAATAATGGTCAGGCCACTTCGGAAACCTCGAAACTGGACCTGCCTTTTTGTAATGTAAATGAACCTACCTTGGTCAGGATGCTGAAAGCGCATGCCATCCCTACAGCACCAACCCCAACCACTGTAACTTTGTTGCCGGAATTCTCTATAGGGGACTGGACGCTTGTAAGCAAAGTGTCTTTGGTAGAGAATTTGTTCATGTTTACTGTTTAAGTTTCCTGAAAACAAAAAAATTAATAATGAATTATTTTATGTATTGAAAAACATTCAGTCGCCTTCACCTGGTTTTACAAAACCACAAGCAGAACTTTTTATTTTGATAAAACACAAATCAATAGATTTAGAAAAATAAAAACAAGTCCAATAAAAATATTTGCTACACGTGTTCGTAAATGTTATTTTTATCTTTAATTTAATGCTCGTCATTCGCTTTAGCCACGCGTTGACACAGAAGTTAAATTTATTTTGGCTATAGGTCAAAAAGTGTGTGTAAGTACATATCGGCTACGGTGGGAAAGGTCAAAGTCATTACGGAAAGGGTCAATACTCTCAAAAACAAATGTCTATGTTATTATTTTTTATACATATCATCAATGAATTTGTTTATTAAAATGTTATTACATCCTACTCATTCACAAAAGGGATATTTCCAAAAGGAATATATATTTTTTTTTTATTAAATGCATTTCTTACTTTAAAAATGCAATAAATTTTACATCTTCCTATAAAAATAATTATTTTATTTTCACCACGATAAGATATGTATTCAAATTGAAATTACAAATTAATTAATCCAAAGCCATATGAGTAAGACAGCAATATGCATTTATTTGTACTTGGTACAGTGTAATTCCAAAAATTGGCAATGATAAAATGAGCAATTTATTAGACTAGTGATAACGGCGCGGCGATAAAACCTTGCAAAATATTTGAACAACATTTATACGTACTAAAAAGTGTAACACAATCTGATTTCATAGTTTAAGAGTAAAATATGTATCTGGTAATATATTACAAAATAATTGTTATATTACTAATAACAATAACATTTTGATGTATTCCAAGTAATATTTGATAAGAATATCGTTATCAGGAATTCACTGGGATGGTTCTTTGACCTCTTATCGTCTTTCATTCATTAGAGGTTTTGTAATAATAATAAGTAATTGTTTATAATAACATTATTATTCTTATTATCATTTACTAATGCGGTCAATAACTTATAATTTCAAAAAATTTTATTTCCTAATTTACCCGGTAAACCAAAATTAAGTTAATATACTCGACAAGTATTTGTTTAATAAAATGCGTAACCACTAATTGTGAGATAAGATTCGAAGTGATAAGCGAATTACATTATTCGGTAGTGTTGCAGTTACACGCTAACAATTCAACGATTTTTTTTTTGTATATACATATATGATGAACAGAATTATTTAAAATTAAAATGAAATGTCTCATTGTACCAATACGGAGTAGGTACCTAACTTATTAAAAATTGGTTTATTATTCTATTATACATGTAATAATAAGTATGTACATGAAAATATAAAAATGCGGAAAAAAAAAAATATTTTTATTGCATTAAAAAACGGTTTATTGAAATTAACAGAAAATAAAAACCTCATAAAGTATTATAATGTGTGAAACAGTATCGAAAAAAAAAACTTATGTTCATGGCACATTTTTGAATATCAAACATTCAAAAGTTTTTAAAAAGTTCTTTAAAATAGGAATAAACATGAATTATGTACTCACAATTTAACTGCAACGATGTAGTACAAGCTCGGACTAATACAGACAAAGCTCTGTTGGAAATTGAAAAGCTTTGACTTTAAAGAAAGTTACTACGTTTGTCTTCTTCTGATCACACAGAGTATCTTCTAATGAACCAACATTATCAAGGTGACCCTTGTATACCGACGGTACCCACCTCTAGAACCTCTTTGGCGCATGCCCGTTTGAGAACATTTCGACCCGGAGTTTCACGTTCTTAATACACTAACCGGGAACGGGAAAATGACGGCTAGCCTGCATTCAATTTCAGGATTCATTCGACGTCTATAACTATCAGTTTTCACTTTATCCATATTGTTTCCCTTCGATACGTATCCACGACGTCTAAGATCCGCTTTTCCGATGGGCCGCATCGACTCTGGGCGTAAAAATAACGCGATATTGCGAGCTGTTGCGACATTTTCGACAACTGTTTTACGCCGAACAAACGCTAAAATCCGCTTAAATGAAATCACTTTCGCTTCGCGAGATGACGTCATCCTTGTACGTGAAGATACGCATGTCTATAAACGTGGGTATAAGCGGACAATACGCCAATACATACAGACAATATGCAGACTGATGATAGATAATTATGAAACCTGTTGAAATACTCTGTCTGCTATAATAATTGTCGTTGTCAATATCGGGAAAAATTTGATAAAGTGAAGGGTACGCTTTTTAAAGGTACTTTATCAGTACTGCTAAAAGTAAACTTGATAACAATAAAAAAGTAAACTGTTTTAATTTTGATAGTAATAATCTAATCTCCGTGTGCATCTAGGGATTTAGGTAATATTACAAAAAAATATATTGAGCACCTCTTCAAAAAATATGTATCTATAAATACATAAATAAAGCTTTCGTTTAATTGCCTAGGATTACAAGGTTACGATAGGAAAAGGCCACACGAACGAAGTGGCGCCCGGTAGCGTTATGTAACTTATGGGCAACCTTTTGCTTAAGAGAATTACTTGAGGTACCGTGAAGTTCACGTTCTCTTTAACTGACGATGGTACTTTGGGTGCTAAGACGAGTCTTAGGTAACTGTTCTGGGTGTGTTCTAGCCCCTTTTATATTAAATAAGTATACATATTTAGCTTCTCTATTGTGAACGAAAGTATATCTAGATTCTAGATAAAATTTTTTTATGGTTGTCAATTTTGATTCCGATTTGTGTTGATGAGTTCATTTTCTAACGAAAATTACCTATCCCCTTCTTATGATATCATATCTGTTCGCATAATTTTGTTGCTTGTAAATAATCACTATAATTTTCTGTATTATTATCTGTAATCCTGATCGGAACTTTTATCAGTATAGCTTTAACTGAAAATAATTACCATCAATTCTCCCAAAAGTGATTGAAGGAATTTTAAATTAGCAAGTCTGACGAAGCGATATTGTGAAATTAAGTTACAAGTTACATGCAAGCAAAACGAATCTAGTTATGACGCACCTAATGTATTTTTTTAATATAATTTTTAAATTTCTTGTTTTCTAATTAATAAATATTAGATGTATATTTTCTATATTTATTTTAATTCCAAAATCATGAAATTTAAATATTATTGAAACAACTTTAGGTGGTTTTTTATCTGAATTTACTAAAGTTCTATGTTCTTATTTATTAGTATGGGAACGCTGCCAAATCTTTTTATGCGATTCTTGTTAAAATTTAATGGGTATTCACATGATACTACATAACGTTTTAAAATTCGAAAATCACGCGCATACAGACCATATGCTTTACATGACCTGATATTTTTCACGTACGTCCATTTGTGCTTTATGGAGTGAGTACAAAAAAGAGAGATGATACATTATAACATACATAATATATGTAAGTTTGCAATCGCATTTTACTAATGTAACATTTCGAAACTTTTCTCTGAATACCAAAGTCAAATTAGCAATTTATTTGTTTATTATATTTCGCCATTCTTATTAATGAAATAAATTTGAATTTAATTCGTTTGTAGATTTGCTGGTGATTATCGTAAATGTTTAAGTCATTTATTGGCACTCGAACCAGACCTCATCCATAAACAAATAACACTCTACAATTTATTATTAATTCATTAATAAGCAAATATAATAATAAAATTAAAAGATGATATCGTTGTTATTTTAAAATTAATTTATCAATATTTCTAAGTATTCCAAAAAGTAGAAAAACAAATTTGAATCAGTATGTACTGCAATAATAAGAGTATTCGAGTACCTAAAGAATTTATTAGTCGATTCGATACCTTTCCTGCCATCTGCAGGATTACTGATTCTTGTTGCGAGGCTTGTAGATTTCTTCAAAAGATGTAGGCTATCTCACCAACAAGTACTTATTTATCTAGTAACGAATTAAAAAACTAATTTTTGAAAAATGTGCGTAACTTCCATTTTCTTCTTTTGGGGAGGGGGGAGTCAGTCTCAGGAATTAAGAGGGATAGAGATAAATCTCGATTAGATTACTATTCACAAATAGTTAAGAATGTTCTAGTTTAGTTTTAGGGAAATGCGAAGATTAGCTCAGGATAGGAGGGTCTGGGTAATCCACCAAAGCCACGGAAAGCCTGGACCATAGAAGACGCACCCGGAATTGAACCGGTGTCCTCTCGATTGCTAAACACTGGTCTAAACCTCTAGACCATGTCGCTTCTAAGCATTAACTTTAAAAAATTGATTTAAACATTTTTATTCAGCAAAATAGTTATCTGTTTTCGTATGCTGAAAGGTGCGTGTTGTTTACCTTCCCATAAAACTAGATTTCAGATTTCTAAAAACAGAATAAGTTTTATATAGGGTAATTTATTAGATAATTTTCATGAAATCAAACACAAACATGGTAATAAAACATTTATATTCACTTTTATAACATGGAGTACATGACAAAAATCAATGTATACAAATATAAATACCTTAAAATATTTATAATTATACATAGATAAACAGAGTACCTCATAAATTGTAAAATATAAGTACCTTACACTACCATTTAACACTTTTCATGACTTTGGACAAAACTTGTGCAGATTTTTGCAATTTCGCTTTCTCTGAATTCTCAAGTGGCTGGATAATCACATCGGTGACTCCATTCTCACCTAACACTGCCGGAAGTGATAAGAACACTTCCTCTTTAATATCATGGAGACCCTGAATGAAAAAAATTACCTAACATAAGCATACGTAAACAAAAACACTCCCCCACACACCCAAAAAAAAAAAACGGTCGGATTTTTCAGCATAACAAACAAGCATTGCAAATATTTTTAGGTACCTGAACTAAAACTGAGACCGCATACACGTTTCTTGAATTTTTGAGAATCCCCTCGCAAATACCCGAAACATTGAGTCCTGTGGCCCAGCCTGTGTTTCCTTTTCGTTTATTGACTTCGTACGCACCGGTTATTACTTTCTGATGAAGTTCAGACCATTTTTCGTCATCGCCGTCCGTACCGAACGATGGGTTCAATGTTTGCAAACGAACCCCTGCGACATTGACACTAGACCAAACGGCAACTGAATACATTTTTATTTTGAAAAGAATAAAATTAGAAATAGGTAAAAATAATTCGAAGTGGTCTGTATTCTGTCGAAACTGCCAGACGCGGATCGCGATTTCGATCTTTTTGGATCTCATCAGCGCGTCGCAGGCAGCTCCGACAGAACACAGACCAACTTTTACCTGCTGTCTTAACAGTGCGTTTTAGAAAATACTACAAATGGCGCAGTAAACGCCATCTGTTGCTCCAACAAGGTCCACTTGTGTGGATATCGACTTGCTGAAAACGAATCCCGGCGTAGCCAATCTCAACGTGGTAGGCACGTTAGCTTAATCGAATAAAATAATTCGAAGTGGTCTGTATTCTGTCGAAACTGCCAGACTCGGATCGCGATTTCGATCTTTTTGGATCTCATCAGCGCGTCGCAGGCAGCTCCGAGAGAATGTGGCAAGTGTAGCATCGTGCCACAGATGGCGTTTACTGCGCCATTTGTAGTATTTTCTAAAACTGTGTAAACAGATGATAAATGATTAAATAAACTAGAGGTGTTTTCTTATAGCTTGCACTATTAGTCCAAATTTAGTTGGTTTGTTAACAAATTGGATGAAGTGAACTAATATTCTACAGTTGCTTAATGTTCCTCTACAATTAATTGATGAAAATTATTATTGCGGTCCTACCACTTGAATCTCCATGTTCTCCAATGATCCAACCATGGCAGCTGCTTAGGCCTATCCCCAGCCGTTGAGATATCAAAAACCTAAAGCGGGACGAATCTAAATTAGTCCCTGAACCGATAACCCGGGTTTTGGGCAGTCCGCTTATTTTCCACGCAATATGAGTAAGAATGTCCACCGGGTTACTGACAATCAGCAGAATTGTATCCGGAGAATATTTAAGTAATTGGGGAATGATGTTCTTCGCTATTTCAACATTCCTTTGGAGTAAGTCGAAACGAGTTTCTCCCTTCTTTAGACGTGCACCAGCTGTTAGAACGCAAATTCTAGATCCAGCAGTTACTGCGTAATCTAAATCACAAAGAAATATTTACAATGAAATCAAAAAATAATTATGTACAATTTGTGTTTTACCGGTGCTGGCTACAATTCTGGCGTTATGCAAAAAACTAGAACCGTGTTGCAGATCCAATGCTTCGCCCTCTAATTTATCCTGGGCACTATCAACTAAAGCTATATCATTTGAAACACTCTGCAAAAAAGAAAATAGAGGGAGTCATTTTGGGATGTAAATACGCCATTTGTTTAATAAGGGGTGACAAAGTAAGAAGCATATATATGTTAACTTAATTTTTGATTCTACTGTAAATGAACTTACTCTGGTCAGAATACTGAAGGCACTTCCTATTCCTGCCGCGCCAACTCCAACCACTGTGATTTTGTGACCGGAATGATCTAACTGGGGCTGAACGTTGGTAACAAAAGAGTCTTTTGTGGAGAATTCCCTCATGTTTGCGGTTTTTCTAATTGTTCTCAAAAATAAAATAATAAATTATTTTATATAACTAACACCACCAACCACCAGGAAGTCAGATATCTAGGAAGTCAGATAAGTCAGGACGGAAGGAGTAGTAGGGATATAAAGCAGAAGATAGCGCACGGTCGTGTCGCCTTCAATAAAAAGAAGTCAGTTCTATGCTCGCTAAGAGAAAATTAGCTCAGGATAGGAAAGAGTGAAGGTACGTGTCCAACCAGTCTTAGGACTGACGACCTTATGATGATGATGATGATGAACTAACACCTACCTCGAAATCCCAAAAAGTTTCAGTCAGTTTTAGCTGATTTTACAATACAAAAATATTTGCTAAATATAGGTTACAAGCGTAACGTAAAAAACTCTATTGAAACCTCTATATTAACAGAAACCTTTTAAATATGCTACCTAAAATAGGAAATCAACGAAGAATGCATAAGTACAATCATATGTATATATTTCAAACAATGTATCAATAGAATGATACCGTAGACCAAGAAATGATACACAATATCAGTCAGAAGGATAACTAACAAACGATCGCTTACTTAATCATTGAATGTCAGGATTGAGAAGAATCAGAGGAAGATGATCGCCTAATATCACTACATATATCTCTGCTGAAAACCAATTTTACCTTTAATCTAGAAATATAGCGTTTCAGAGGGATAGAAAAAAATTGTTTTATGTGTTCGTCGATGATCCTTAACACATATTTAGGACATTAACGCGAGCGAAGTCGCTGATGAAACCTAGTAGAAGAAAATACATTGACCCTATAGGTCGGGAGGTCACAGATTCGATTGCGAATCCATGTATCTTATAACAAGTTACTCTGCGATTTCCTTGGACCATTTAGGCGAATGCTATGACATTAAAATTCTACAGATAATTTTTCTGTCGCTAGCCACCAAAACCAAAGGTATTTGTGAAAGATAATATTCTACTTGTTTGGATAATTACACTATTCAGGAACTTGGATTTCGAAGTAATTTTAATTTTTTTTCCCATATAATGGACAGAAATATTTCAATTTTGACCAACTGGAAAATGAAATGTTAGTGCACAAATAAAGATTTAAAAAGTCCTGTAAACATGAAGAAACTTACATTACTTACAATTTAACTGCGACGAAATTGTAGAATCTTGGATTACAGATAGAACTTAAATGAAAATTGGAAAACTTATTTGGTCTTAATGAAAGTTTATTCGTATGTCTTGCTTGGACCACTCGTGTATCTTCCAACGGGCGAACATTATCAAGGTGACCTTTGCACATCGATGCCACCAACTTCCAGAACCTTTTTTGTATATGTCGATTTGACAGCACTTCAGCCCAGGTCATAAGCAGACACCCAGACTATCACGTTGTTATTACACCCTCCTTGATTAGACCAAACGGGAGTATCATCCAACTCGAATTAAAAATTGTGGGTAGTTTCGAGATTCTTTTGACGTTTACGGGTTAATTTTGATTTTATATATATTTTTTTCTTTCTATACGGACATATGGCACCTAAGATCCTTTTTTTTTGAATGAGTCGAAAATTATAATGTAGTGTAATCGCCCATGTTCTTTCTGTTAAATAATTTCATCTTTCTTTTTTCCATCTTTCTCTTGTGATTTTCTTTTCTTCGATTTGAATATTCGATACATTATACTTATCTTTATACATTCTTTTAATAACATATTATCTTCTAAATTTAACACTCTTTCTTCGTACTTTAAAGCTCTCTTTGAATATTTTATGGCCAATTTTTTTGTTTTTGTTCCTTCTTGTAATATGTATTTCTTTCCTTTCTTAACCCCCTCCCACCCCTTATCCGTATAAATAAAATACTATTTTTAAAACTTCCACAAACTTTTATTACCTTGACGATCGTTTCGCCACATTATGCCTTCTTCAGAGGATACACTAATTTTTGTGCTATAAAATACACTAATTCTAATACAAGATACAAGAAACCTTATTCTCTCTTTGAAGAAGCCACAAAGTAGCGAAACGATCGTCAAAGTGATAAAAGTTAGTGGAAGTTTTATTTGTAAGGTATAATGAACTACCATCTAGTAAAAGTAGAATCAATCAGTTTAACTATTAATGATTTCTTAATATAAAAATAGTTTTAGGTATTCCACAAAAAGCAGGAAAACATAAAATTCAGTCAGTGTGTGTAAGGATTTATTAGTCGATTCAATACTCTTCCTGCCATCTGCAGGTCTACTAAACACCGATTCCTGCTGCAGGAATGTCGTAGACGGTGTCGGGGCTTTCGTCAACAAGCTCACCGATCTACACATCTGCTACAAGTTGTAGGTTATTCTCGCCGACAGATACCACTACACACAAGTTTCCTAAATGAAATTTTTTGAAAACTTGTTCTACCTTTTCGTAATGTGGAAAATACTAACGTTGAATATTTTTTATTCAGTAAAACACGTAACTGATTTCATTTTGTGACAAATACATTATTTACCATCTTATGTATCATGAATTGAAATAATGAATAGTAACAAAAATATTTTTTTCTGTTTGCAAAAATATCATACGTATAAATATACGAAGAAAGATAAAAAGTAAATACTACTAACAATATTATGACATGACAACTCATCGTTCAATCGTAAGCCAACAAATTGATAATAAAAATGTAATAATTATTATCTACTTAGATTATCTACAGTCGATATGTTTAATCACAGCAGAACAAATTTCCTAAAGTTCTTTATCTTGCATAAAAGTTATCAACCTATCAAATAATAATTACAAATTGTGATTTATACCTACTGTTTTCTCTTTAGCATTTAATTTACTTTTGATAATGTTCACATATCGGTGACATTTTTATTTACGTTATTTTTCTTCACTCACAAATAAATAAAATAGGAGACTCACCCCATATTACCACTTACACAATTTCATTGAGCGAACACGTGTTTCGCCCACTTCAGACTTTTTTTGTTTAGATTATTCTCGAGGTGAGGAAATTTTCAAAAGACACCTCCTTAGGGGAGGTAGTATCTGATTTTTACTGACTAAAACCCCTCCTCGAGTGGGGAGATAAACCCTGCGGGTTGTTCATCCCCGGGAAGAAAATGGATGGTTGGGATTGGGAAGAGGGTTGAGATGGGAAAAGTGCCCACTTCAGACTGAGTCTCGCATTGATAATGCCCACGTTTGAAGTGGGCGAAACACGTGTTCGCTCAGTAAAATTGTGTTGGTGGTAATTGGGGTGAGTCTTCTATTTTATTTATTTATTAGTTTACCACAGTCTCCCTGTTTCTATTTCACTTACAAAGTTTTGGGGCATGGTGTACATTGTAGCTGGTACCTTTTAAGTTCTGTAGCGATTAGCACGACAGTTGCTGGTTTAACATTGGCTTTAAAGGTAACAGTTATGATTCGAGCAGTCCATAATCTGTAATTAAGCCGATAGCGCGCCGTGCAGTGCGGCGGTCAGTTGCCAAGATATAATTATTCTTTTTAAGTGAATCGAGATCGCGACCCGTTGATTAATAGTCAATTAAGGGGTCCTTTTGATCGAAACATCGAAAGGCTTTCAATTAAGTCGTGTTAAATCAACATATTCCATTTCTTCGACGAATACTCACTCCATTCGCACCACCTATACGCATGTACAAGTATGATGTCCGACAATTTAATTAATTTACATACCTGTCCCATGACTTCAAGCTATGCGTCAATGATAATCGAACTCTTTTTTTTTTTTTCAACAACTTACTTTCAGTGTGAGGAATTGTTATTGCTAACTGCTACCAAAGTGATAAAAGAAAGAAATAAAAATAGAGCCGTTTCTATAATACTTTCATTTAACAAGGATGGTCCTTGGAAATTGTTTAATTAAGATCTTGGTTGATTGGGAAACCCTTAAAATGTACCAAATACACTTCGTTTTGGTCAAAAACTAGATTATCCTGGGACCGCTTCAGTCTTTGCTCTCTCTAGAGCAGGAAGACTTTTGTATTGCCGCTAGATTAGTATTATTGATTTAGATTGCCTTTTACCAAAATATAGAAACGCCGGTAATATAATTTTTCGTTTATTTTTTTTATTTATTTGCGTACATTTCAGATAATGTTAGATCAAGGCCTGACTGTATTTCATTCATTTTATCGGCTGATTTCTGAAGCAAATTTTTCTCCTTTTCGGTTAGCTGCTGACGAACGATGTAGGACACTCCGCAGCTGCTTAAAATGCAAGGCAAGGACAAATAAACATCCTTCCTATCACCAGCGTCGCTATCCTTGTGTCTACAACCCTACAAAATGTTTAAATTATCGCAACCATTCGCGAAGAACATAATAAACAATCGATTCTTCCTGATATTATGCGAAAATGTATATTAACAATCTCTGAAAAACGTATTCCTGTAACACGCCTATTTCCTAAATGCATTAACACCATTTGTTTCTGCGAACATCCTGACATATCCTGGACAATTTTTATTTAATTTTAATTAAAAAAAAATAGTAAAATCGGGTTGTACATATCTTTTATTTAGTATACGTGTATGGAGATCAGTTGACCTGCTGCCTCTTGAATTCGGTTTCATGTATGTATATGGCTTTCGAAAAGTAATTGGTTTTAGCGATGTGTTATAATTAAAATATTATCTGTGGACACATCACCCAAACCCAATAATAATAATAACAACATCAGCGCCAACACAAAACCTTTCCGAGCAAGTTTTTTGATATTATTTACGCCCAGTGTTCGCATTGAAAACTAATTAAATTGTTGTGACTCAAACAAGTAGCTTCTTGATTGTTTTACAGATCCATTTTTAGCGGCATTGGAATCGTGTAAGAATTTACTTACAACATTTGTTTAATTAAATATATTATCTTTAATACACTATCTTTGGATACTATTATTAGATTGTTTGCTTCAATTATGATTGCAACAAAAAGGGTGCGATATCAAAGTCAAATGCATAAAAACAAAATTATTTAGCTGCGGTTCTTTCTTGTTAATCCTTAATCAACTATTACTTACGTATAATTTCTTTTAAGTAAAATCTATAAATTTATAATTTGCAAGTTTCATACCGTCCTGATCGTAATTTTCTTTAACGTCTTTGGATCAGATTAATCATTACACATTATAGAAAGCCAAGACTAATTTCTTTCATCGTCGTGCTACCAGAGTGCCGGTGTATAATGAGGCTTTCAATGCTTTTAATAATGGAAGAAATATCATCCACGGATCTGGATCATTTATTTACATTGATTCGCTCGATCCCGTTTCAATCGACGCCCAAGGTAAAAAAATTAGCTTCACCATTTAGCATACAATGGGGTCTCGTAACTCTATTAGCTGCAGAAACAGGACTGCCGAGGAATATTAATTTCCAAAGATGACAAGCGCTGAATGATAGGTAAATGCAACGTGAATATTCTCTTCATTGTGTATATATGTAGGTATGTGTATATATTGAATGGATTCTTTTCTCGTTCGGAATTTTGATCGGATTAGTAACGCTTTTCCAGACAGCCGGGTGTCAGTGTTATTATCTAGGATCTCTAGTTCGTGAACTAGCCTCGGGAATAAATCACGTTTATTTCCGCAAACAGTCAGGAACGTGTTGAATAATAAAACACCAAACGACGATTGATGAGACACTGCTCTTCTACGTATACAAAAAGCAATAAAAAAAATCGGTTGTCTGTAAAGTCGGTTTACTGACGATAGTTGAACGTGACAACGTCATAAGAAAATACTGATGGAACGGTTTTATTTTTCAAAAGAAAATTTTAATTTTATTTGTTTGATAGATATTTTGTATGGATATAGAGAAGGAGGTAAATGGATATGTATTATTGTATAGCAGCTGTCAACGCGGACGCATCGCTCACTCAAGTAGGAGAGAGACAGATGTCGAACGCTGCCGAACGCGGATGCCGATTGTGTCTCTTTGTCGCTCGTTCCGCGCTCTGGCTTGCACTTCAAGCCTTAAATGAAACGCCTCAGAGCGAGGTAACGCCGCATGAGTCATGTTTTTACGTGTGTGCACCCGGCTCCATCGAATTATAAGACGTTGTCAAGTCAAAAATTGACACTGAACTGAAAAAATTGGGCGATTTTTAAATAGTTTTATGGAAAGAAATATAAAACAGAGCAGGGAGAAGTCACTTCTATGTTCGCGAAAGGTTAATTTAGAAATTCGAAAAGGATTGTTAACAGTAAAGATCTTTCGCCGAGTCAAAACGGAAAATCCATAAATCATTTTTATTATCAACTGAATCGAATCTAATGTATTGGCCGAGAAACAGCCCTTTTCTATCTTTGTACCTACCCCGTTGTAAAAATGATTTGCGGCTTTTCCGTATCGACTCGGCCAACGATCTATATATACAGGTCCGTCGAGAGAACGGCGCTGTACGGGTGCGAAACGTAGACGGCGGACGCACGACGGAAAAGAAAATGTTACAAAAAATTAAGGGCTAGTTGGAAACATATTAGAAGCAGAAGCAGGAGTTAAGAGGAGCAGAGATAGACCTCGATTAGATTATTGTTCACGAATAGTTAAGGATGTGGGATACTCTAGTTTTAGAGAAACGGGATAGGAAAGAGTGGAGGTGCGTGTCCAACCAGTCTTAGGACTAACGAGAGCTTATGATTACTGAATACTGTAGGGATGAGTGGTAAAGTTTTGTGAGGGAACGATTCGGACAAGACCACGCACATGTACGGTGCACTTGCCAGGTGAAATATCTGATTAGAGTCGATGAAAAGACATTTACCTACACGGAAAACTAATCTACGATCTGCCAAAGGATCGCACTCACGTGGGTATATATGTATATGCATATGTACTTGTAACAACGGACACAACATCGAACATTCCGTCCATCCGGCTTCCGTGACTTTCAAATTGCAACATGCGTTCCTCCTTTGCATTTGTCAGTGCGTAAAATTTATAACTCTTTATTTGCATACTCCGCTAATTAAATCGAATTGGTACGTAGAACAGCGGCTACAGCACGGATCACTGAGTCGTATAATATTAGCGCGAGGGGATCTCCCGATTTCACAATTTTCCACGATGATATTGCGTAAAATAATTGCACTTTTATTTTTGTTTTGAAGTTGCTCATCAATGGTGAAATGAAGTGTTCAATTTATCTTTGAAATGATCTTTAATTTTTATAAATAAAACTCCTTACCCTTATATGTGTTGATACTGGCATACACTCTCTTGTATCTTCTAGTATAGCCGATGTAATTTTCGCCATAGCTTGCGCCATACTCAGAGCTTCGTGACCTTTTATACTTTTTATACAATTGGAACTGAAAATAACATATAGTAAAGATGAATACATACGTGAAGTGTGAATTGTACAGATTAGTGGATTTAGTTGTGATGAATTTAAAATAATTGAATTGTAAAATCGGTAGCAAAAACAAGTAGTATTTTACACAGCAGCTTGGACACGCACCTCTACTCTTTCCTATCCTGAGCTAATCTTTGCATTTCCCATTAATCTAATGTAAGTCTACGTCTACCCTTACTAACTTCCGTTTCTTCCTCTAATATGTCTCTGACTAGACTTCCATAGAGTCCTCTGTTCTCATATTTTTTCTAAAACCTCTTTATTTATAACCTTTTCTATCCACGGTATTCTCATCATTCGTCTAGAGCACCACATTTCGAACGCTTTAAACCTTTCCTTTTCCACCACGCTGACCGTCCAAGTGACTTCTTTTTATTGAAGGCGACCCGACCCTGCGCTATCCTCTGCTTTATATCCCTACTACTCCTTCCGTCCTGACTTACCTAGCTGATTTCCTAGATATCTAAAATCGACCACTTCTTCTAATTTTTCGTCTCCTATCCTGATATTCGCCATTTCCCTACTTTTTCTTCCCTTGCATATCAGTATTTCTGTTTTACTTTTATTGATTTTCACACAATACTGTTTTGTCAATATCGCTTCCATTTTATTTAAAGTTATCTCTAACTCCTCCTTGCTAGATGCCAATACTTAAAATAAAAATTGTTTATTATCGCTCTCGATTCTTTTGGCGTATGTTTTCAAATCTATTCGTACGCACACCAACCGAATAATCTATAAATCACCAAGATGTCCCGCAGCGTTCGCGCCTTCGGGCAACGATTTAATTGACGCGCCACGTACCGCTTATTACTCGCCTGCGACTTCTTCCTCTTTCCTTTCCTTACCCTCATCGTACGGTCCTCGTATTAATTTATGAAAGTGGGCAGTGGAAGAGCCGGACAATCTGGACAATGTACGTGATTTACAACGTGCCGATTTTTGCGGCGATTCCGCATGATTCACTCGCATATTTACCAAGAAATTACGCGTTAGCAGTACCCAATGCGACAGGTTGGTAAACGACGAGATTTATTGGCGCCCAACGTGGGGCAGACTCACTAATATAAGTATAATATAAATATCCGATCTCGCTCATTAACACCGGCAAAAAATATTATCCAAACGCAATGTAAATCCTGGTCATGATAAGTGATGTTATTTAAGAATACAGAAAGTATGACAATTCATTAAATTAGATTTTTGTCCTTTGTTCTCCCTCTTAAAACATGAAATGATGTAGAGAAATGTTTCCTATTCAAAATAGACACATTGACAAAACAGAAAGCACTTTATCATTCCTGCTTCTCCGACAATCTATAGTGGTGTAATTAAGGATTAAGATTTTAATTAACAATCTGTAGGTAATTTTAAATTCCAGTATTAAAAACCAAACATATACCTTTAACAATCTTTTTCGAATTTCTAAATTAATCGGGTGTACGGGTACGGCAGACGCGGCGGAAAAGAAAATGTTAGAAGCGTTCGGAATGTGATGTTACCAGCGAATGATGAGGATACCGTGGATGGATAGAGGTTAGGTTAGGTCTAGTCAGAGACATATTGGAGGTAGAAACAGGAATTAAGAGTAGTAGAAGTAGATTTAGATTAGATTACTGTTCGCAAATAGTCAAGGATGTGGGATGTTCTAGTTTTAGGGAAATGCAGAAATTCAGGAAAGAAAGGAGTGGAGATTCGTGTCCAACCAGTCTTAAGACTGACGACCTTATCATGATGATTATAAACCACTAATAGATGTTAATTTAAATACCCTATTTGTTTAAAATTTTAGAAAAAAAGGTCAGAATTGCCCCGTTTTGCCTACTAACTTTTTTGCATGTTTAAAAAATCGGTTGTCTGTAAAGTCGGTTTACTGACGATAGTTGAACGTGACAACGTCATAAGAAAATACTGATGGAATGGTTTCATTTTTCAAAAGAAAATTTTAATTTTATTTGTTTGATAGATATTTTGTATGGTTATGGAGAAGGAGGTAAATGGAAATGTATTATTGTATAGCAGCTGTCCACGCGGACGCATCGCTCACTCAAGTAGGAGAGAGACAGATGTCGAACGCTGCCGAACGCGGAGGCCGATTGTGCCTCTTTGTCGCTCGTTCCGCGCTCTCGCTTGCACTTCAAGCCTTAAATGGAACGCCTCAGAGCGAGGTAACGCCGCATGAGTCATGTTTTTTCGTGCGTGCAGCCGGCTCCATCAAATTATAAGACTTTGTCACGTCAAAAACTATTGTCAAAGAAAGTCAGAAGCAATTAATTGTATTATTAAATAAAAAGAAAAATATTTATTAAAAACCTCTTGAAAATTACTTACTTCTTAACAATTTCTTTATGAATATAGTTCCAATCTTCAGGATCTTCATCGGTACCAATATCAGCGTTAATATCTTTCAGTCGTACCCCACATATGGTTACCCCTGACCATACAGGGACTAAATAATGAAAAGACAGTGATGTATGTAATATTCACTCAAGTCTAAGGTATACATAGTTTACGACTAACTGGCTCTTAATCTACGGATTTTACAACCATTTTATTAAGTGCCAATTGGTCTTTATTTGAAAATACGACCGTCGTATATAATCGGATGTTATACGCGTTGTGATAAAGCGACCCTTTATAATCTAACACGTTACGATTTTATTTTGTCGAGTGCATTAGAACGGGATTTATAATAGGTAATCTATAAAAAATGAGACTATTAACTGATAATAAAAATTCCTTCACAATCAGCAGACAATAAGATTGTGAGAAACTTGGACCTCGCACTTTTGTTTAAATATGTCGTAGCATTGGATCTTACTACTTTTTTGCCCTGGTTCTCCAATGATGCAAGCCTGCACTGCGCTTGGGCTCACGCCAAGCCTTTCAGCTATGAGGCTTTTAAAATTCGCCGACTGTAGGCAGGTGCCGGAGCCTATAACCCGATGGGCCGGAAACTTGCTGAGTTTCCACACAATGTAGGAGCAAATATCAACTAAAAATCAACTTTTTATAATGGAATTCACTTATTGTGATGTTGTGTAATTATTGTACGCACCTGGTTGAGTCATAACAACGACTACAGCTTCAGGACTCTCCTTAACTATAGCCGGTACGATTTCTTTTAGAATTTCTGCATTTCTTTTAGCGGCGTCCATTTCGTTTTCGTCTTCTTGCATCACGGCCCCGACGGTGATGATCACGACGCAAGAGTCGACAGTTTTATGATAATCTAATAAAAAGGACAGTAAAAACATTCTTTGGGTTATTTTTAATACGGCGGCCACACGGTCGTCATGGAGAACGAAAAAAGAACAAAACCGCTTAATAAAAATTTCGTAGCTGCATAAGTAAAACAAAGTACTAGTTTATCCTCTTTAAAATCGTCTGTATGCGAGAAATGCATAAATATGTTGCGTTTAAGACGAGTTGCAGTTCGAAAAGGATTGCAGTCTCGACCGTAGAAGTTAAAATCCACGTTAATTCCGTCTTTAGTACCTGCTACGAAGCTTATGCTCCTTCAAAACAGCCGTAACTCATCGCGAGGCGGAGAATTAGCTCCCGATGCAAGAAATCTTCCAGCACACTGTCTTAGCGCTCCGGGTCGTTGATGCAACTTAACAGATATCAGATTAAAAACATTAGCTCGTAAACGTCGCAAGAGGAGAATTAACAGCAGGATTCTGGAAGAATGAAGAATCCGCAGCTTGCGTTCATCTGGCATGCTTTTCGGCGGCTTAAACGTTTAATGCAATACGTAACGTAATCGTTTTCGAAAAGAATCTTATTATTTCCTTTAGTCAGATATTGTACGCATTCTTTAAAAATCAATTAAGTTTGTAACAGCTAAAGATAAAGTGAGATTAATGACAAAAATCTTAAAGCTCAAGGATGAAATTCCCTAAAGAAATGAAGTATACACAGTAATTTGTTCTTTGAAAGTACCAGTAAAAGGTGATAGATGAACAATAACGAATATGACTAAATTTGGCTTTTGAAGAACCTTTGGGGTTTACTCACATCAAACCAAAAACGAATTCTCCCGCCAATTTGTAAGTGTATGAAATATTGCGTTATTTTGTGACAATTGATAAAGTGTGGGTTCATTACTGAATCCCTGGAACGAAACAACAACCATGACAATTGATTGGACATGACAAACTGGTTTAAAAAAGGTCAAATTTGTTCTATCGGCTAGAAAGGTGAGAGCGTCAGCTTTTTGGGACGCTGAGGTAATTCCTCTAGCTGACTGTCCAGTAAATTATATGCGTCACTACTGGACTGCTTAAAGATGGCAACAGCCAGAGAGACACCCGGAAAATACCAAGAGCAAGGTGTTATTTCACCATTACTATGCACCCATGCGTTCAAAGCGTATCGTCGAGTAAAAATTGGCAAAGCTGTGATTTGGGCTTCTTTCGCATTTTGCCTAAGTATTGGGGCCAAATTCCCAAAACTAAACTAAATAGTTTTCCTACAGAGCGAACATTGAATGTCACAGATAGACCATAAAAAACAAACTAAGAAGAAACTGCAAATTTGAAGAAACGTCGGTGAAAGTGTCTTGAAGTTCCAAGGGCCTATGTTCAGAAATAAACTTTATAAGTGAATTTTGGTAAAATAGGTATATGATATTCATTTGACTGGATTCTTTGTTAAATTTTCGTCATACCAACAGTGAGTAAATAGTTTTGATGCGACGCCCTTTAATCTACAACTTTTAATGAACTCTAAAAAGAAATTGTCTTCTTTTACCAGTTAGTGTTACATAAAGTAATACGTGCAAGTCAATGAAACAACAAATAGGCTCCTTTGAGTTAGTACGAAATAAACGTTTTAAAACAAATTTTCATTCATCGACGCTGAAAGCAGAAAACGAGCAGCGAAGCCGCCGTGGTGTTATTGAAAGTGCAACATCCCGATAATATACGATTACACACGGCTGGGTGTGCGTGCTGTCTTTCAAATTCAATTCAGTGCGGAAATTTAATTTTATTAGAAACGTTCGCATAACAGATACCTATACATGGTTACGTGTATATATATATATATAGAAATGTAGAATCATTCAACTCTATCGCGATGTATCCCAGAGCGTCTTCACGCCACATAAATCACGCGGATGACAGCGTCAGAGAATTCCTGGGCTGAGCCTGAACAAGGAGAAAGAGTCCGCCGACTCTATTAGGCGTTGGACTCATGGCATCCGGAACTGCTTCACCATGGATATGATTCACAGCTACCCAAACACGCGATAATGTGATACTATTATGTAATGGAGTAATTTGGATTTTAAAATGGCATTACATACCGCGTACCTCATTATTTTCTAAATAAGAAAATATGGGATAAGTAACATCAACTATATGTTACGGTCAGGGGTGTCTTTTATTTTGGGGATGAAATCGATTTTCGTGTAGGTAAATGCTGTTTACAATAATTGCATTTATTGTAATTATTTCTGGTCTCTACGTATCTAATGTTATTTATGTAGCTTACACTGATCCGACGAGACTCGTACCTTGACGAAGCCCGCTTTGATGATTCAGGGAATGGGACCGTAGATTCAACCATAATATGTAGGGGGGCTTTTTAATGATGAACCAAACTAAAATAAGTTCCCAAAGGAGGGCAGTTTTCAGGGTAGCATCGATCACGGGGATTGTAAAATACCTGGAGTGCAACATAGCAGAAAAGTTGAATGTTATAGTTTTAGGGAAATGCGCAGGATAAGAAAGGGTGGAAGTGCGTGTCTAACCAGTCTTAGGATTGACAACTGTATGATGATGATGATTTAGCCTATAAAATAAATAAAATGAAACTAGGTCCTTGACGCATTATTTATCCATTACCATGGATCATAGAGTGAAATTTGAGTTTATGTAATCAAAAGCCCAAATCGAGTTGCATGTTCAGCAGAAGGTTTTTCCCGAATTTATTAGAATTATATAAATGTTTCTCAACATATATACAGTTTGAAAGACGATCGCATTCCACAAACACCTCGATTGCATGTCGCCAGCAAGCAGGGCGGTACGGATAAAAAATAAAAACGCCTGTCAGCATTCATTAACGAAACGACTGTATCGACCGAATTGATCTGCCTATTTATTTGAAAGAGATGATGGTATCGTTCCCGACTCGAATATGACGGGTACTCGACAAATTAATAAGATGAACTCAAAACAAAAAGGAGATTTTTTATTAAGATATATAACCAGAAATATGTCCATCCTATATCCGTCAAAGCCTGAATTTAGTTGAACCAGAGATTCAATTTGATTGAAATAGAAAAATAATATGATAAAGTGGGTCAGATTATGAGATTCAATAGCACATAAATAAAGCTGGAGCGTTATTATCAATGATTTCAATTTGTTACTGTTGTTTAACGGTTTTTTTTACATGAATATATTACTTGTTAATTCAATGGAAAACACATATAAATCAATGTTTGTAAAAAAAGTGCAAAAGCGTCGATAGGTGTAATTATAAAATTAATTTTTTTTTGTTTCAGGTCTAATTAATACAGCCGAAGATACCTCTAGAATTGGTAAGTGAATTTACCTATTTTTAGAGCAGTTTTTGTAGTACCTATTAGTATTGAACGATCTAGTGTCTGTAGATTGTTGGGTTGAGTTAGGTTAGGTTATTTTGCACCCACCTGTGGTTGAAGTGATCCTCGGACTCTCCATGAACATGGCACCTTGAATCATGTCCATGTGCTCTCCCTGGAGCTGCTCTTCGCTCTTATCTATTAGTACCAATTCGGAAGTCTTTTTCTGTAAAGTAAGATTTAAACAGGTGCAACCTTGCAAAGACTTATGCAAAATTGTTGTAAGAAAGTGGAATGTTAATTCATTGGTTAATTAATCAGTAACATTAACTTTGCAATGTCAATCAAATTTTAAGTTGGTTAAAAATTATTATCTTGCGCTGCTTTATTTATCAGAAAATTCATTTAAACAATAGTATAGAGAAAACAGAAAATTTTAGAATTAAAATACCCCTGCACCTCTTTTGGTTCCAACTGTTTACCTTACGTTAATTGAAGAAGGCGTACTACCATCACGGGTATCCATATGGAACTGATGTAAAGAGTGGTGTATTAGTTCGGTTGCCCTCCTTTTCGTGATATCAAGTAACCGCGAGACACACGAATATTTCACACGGTCACCGATACAAACGGTCGGTATTTTCTCTTGCCAGGTCAGCATTACGGGGCACATATTCTTTCCAGTGGAGGAGGTCCTTACTGTTCTCGTCGGATCGAAGAAGACAGGGAAGACGAATTGGAAACTCACGGCCACCCGCCCATAAATCCATTATTTAACGCCGGCATCCGCGGTGATGCTTCTGGAGATGGTCGTCGAGATAAAGAGACAGAAAGAATAAAAAAACCGAGACTACTGTTAAGACCGACGCGGCTGGATCTATGCCATTAATTTGATACTGTTTTCAATGCGCGACATAAATTCCTGCATGGGTCTGGGGATCGGTAAGGTTATGCATTATCCACATATGTATATGTGGTCAAGAAGATCTCTTAGCGGAACCGGAAGTTAAGAAAGTAGAGGTCATCGAAACTGATTGTGAGTAAAAATAGCAGTTTGAGTGAGACCTACTCTACTCTCTACTCAATTTCAAGATCCAGTGGTAACTCGTAATCTTTTATCCCTGAATATGCTCTATCTCTAATAATGCTAATCGCATCTTCAGTATAGTTCTTATACTGTGCAAGAGAAAGCTGATTTTTATGTAATCTATGGATACCTGAGTTAGCAGCGTATATGCCAAAGCAACCCCAACCGAACCAGCTCCAATAATGGTGACTTTGTCTCTCCGGTTTTTTCTCCTTGCAGCGGAAGGACAGACGTAGGTCATCAAGGCTTTTACCGTTGTCGTTAGCATCTCTTCAATTTAGCTAACCACTAAAAATAAATCAGAAATATCAATATTAAACTGATCAGGCAATTAACAAGCAGAAGTAATCGTCGAATATTCCTTATTAGCATCGATAAGCAACGAAAATAAAATAAACAAGTCGTTTTAAGCTTGGAAAATGTGAAAAGCTCTTGTACCTATCAAGAATTTTCATCGAGCCGAAACAAGTTTTTTTAAAGCCCAACATTAACTGTAAATGCAATTTTCAAACCAGGTAGGCGCTGTACTCTTAGCAAATTAAATGAATGCAGTAAATGGCTAGATTACGGTTATTTGGGTGCCGTTCGTTCGTTCGTTTGCCGTCCAATTTGCATAGCAGAAGGCGCGATGACGAATAACCCATCGCGTTTGGGTCCGCATGGTGGCACCGAGACACACGGAGAGAGCGCGGAGCACTGTTGCCAATCTATTACAGGAAAAAATCCCACGCACAGGTCCAAAAAATCCCATATTTTCTCTAAAAATCCCTCCAACTTACTATTATTATTTTTTAATTTGTTAATTTAATCGTTTATTCGAAGAAAAAATATACAATATTTTTGTAAACATGGACAACTTTTCGTGTCGATAGTATAATACCGATAATTTTATTGTATGTAATTATCTCGTTTCCCAAAAATGCAGACAAAACCAGGCCTTGGGGCTTTAGATGTTTAGATGTTCGGATTTTGGAATAATACACCAATTCAAACATTTATTTTTATTAGTTTTAACATCTGTTTCTGATCTGTTGACTGGTCACATTCAAGATGTTTGCTGAAGACCATACAATGATACGAAAACAATATACAATTCAAAAAAGTTCAAGACAATTTATCGTAGGGACTTGAGCAGGTATCTGAAGGCTGCACCAGTAGGCTTGAACACACATCGCCGTCGTATTTCAACCGTTTCATCGTACAGCATTATACGATTATAGCTGACAAAATTTTACGTTTACAGTTAGAAAAATGAGCGCCTTCATAATATAATATCAGGTCANATTCCAGTCGATTCAGATAATAACCCAACTTGAAAGTTCGGTTCAAATAGTTCAAGCTCGTAAATGAGCAGCCGAACTCGATCTTTTCAGCTTATACATACCCGCAGTATATAAATAAACAAACAAAGGTAATCTAAAATATTATAATAATTGGTATTCGGTGATGGGAGCACCCAGTCAAACTGTAACGTTGTTGCGCCCCTGTCTGTAACAGTAACTAATTTTTTTTTTGTGACTTAATAAGTACGTTTCGGCGTTGTTGCTACTGTCACCAATCGTAGCTTAGCGGTTAGAACATTGGTGCGTCAAGTCAACGCTGCCGGGTTCGATACTCGGCGAGGATATGACAGCAACAACAATTTTCCTTGTTAATTTGAGGTAATTTGTAGTATCTTAAAGTACTTTTTTTCCTCATTCTAACAAAAACAAGATGAAAAAGCGAAGAATAAAGAGGGGTTAGATTCAGATTTTAATTGACTACATATACTCAACAAATAGACCACAAATGGTAACATTTAATAAAAAAAACTTTATCCTATTTCATATATAATACATAGGTACCTGCTACAGGTTTAGAATGAAATGGCCAGTACCACTGCTCCTTCATTTTAATTCTTCACTTTCTTTCTTCATATTTGTTGCTAATTCTCGTTTCCTCAGTCATAATAATAATAACATCTCTCAATTGTACATTTGTTGCTATTATTCTGAATACTGGTGGAAATTTAATTTCTCTTCTTCGCATTGTGGGCCGAGATTACCATTAACCGTGGAACCCACACAGACGCTGGCATAAATTACCGACATTGTTTCTTCTTTGGACGAACGTGGACAACCAGGGTTTGCGTACGTGTGTATGTATATATATTATATATATGTGTGTGTATCTGTATGCGTATCTATACCTGTACGTATACATGTAGCAGCGATGGGCATCGTACGCCCGAGAACCGGGTATTAACTTCTCCAGTGGAGGCCCGAAAAATTACCATAGAAAGAGAACGATTACGCCCAACGTGACCAGTGATGCTTCAGTTCGTGTACCTTCCCTTCGCAACATATGCTCGAACAATTGTAAAAAGGTATAATGGTGTAAGACTTGTCGCTAAACCACCGCGGATAATTTATAGCGGTGCTCAAACGTTAATAATGCCTTTGATTCTAGATATCAAGTTTTTTGAAAACAAGCGAAAGTATAGAGGCCGATTAGCGATAATAGTGTAAACTAGACAAATGTCTGTATTTAGAGAGCTACTGTATGAAAATAAACAAAATTAAAACAAAAATACTGATAATAAAAAGTAGGGAAAAGGCGAATATAAAAATAGGAGACGAAAAATTAGAAGAAGTGGCTGATTTTAGGTATCTAGGAAGTCAGATAAGTCAGGATGGAAGGAGTAGTAGGGATATAAAGCAGAGGATAGGGAAAGGTCGTATCGCCTTCAATAAAAAGAAGTCACTTCTATGCTCGCGAACGGTTTATTTAGAAATTTGAAAAGGGTTGTTAGAGGTGTATGTTTGGAGCGCGGCGCTGTAAGGGTGTGAAACATGGACGGTGGGCGCTGCGGAAAAGAAAAGCTAGAAGCTAGAAGCATTCGAAATGTGATATTACAGGCGAATGATGAAGATAGAGAAGGTTAGAAATGAAGAGGTATTAGAAAAAAGTAGCAGAACAGAGGACTCTATGGAATTCAATAGGAAATAGGCGAGATAGGTTGGTAGGACACCTTCTAAGGCACGAAGGTCTACTCAGAGACATATTAAAGGCAGAAACTGGAGTTAGGAGAAATGCGAAGATTAGCTCAGGAAAGGAAAGAGTGGAGGTGCGTATTCAACCAGTCTTAGGACTAACGACCTTATGGTGACGAGTTGGTAGATTAGTAATATAAATCGCATAATATATTTGAAATTTCCCACGATTTAGATTTGTCCAGAAATTGCCAGATTGTAAATAAGCATGAAAAAAAGCAAAGATGGTATGCTGTCCGCGGCGTCCACAGTTCGCCATTCGTAATGATGCGGAGCGCCCACCGTCGATTTGTTAATGTCTTGGTGAAGAGTGGACAACAATCTCGCAACGTTTTGTAAATGAAATACGCGACCATTTGCATGTGGAAACGGACCCAACAACGACGTTTAAATGGCCCCTCTCACTCGATTCACGCCGCGATAAATCTTACTTTAAGAAGCCAAAAATTGTCAGCAGGTTGGGACCGTTTCAATATCAACATATTCACGCATTCTCAATCTAAATTACACAAGTTGCATCGATTTCGATTTCAACCGCACGATAAAATTCAAGTATAATTACACGATAAATGCCAGTTTGATAAAAATAATTGAATCATCAGAAAAAAATATACAATTTGACTATTTTTTTGTCACAATTATGTCGGTGTTAGTTTGATTCTGTTGCGCAAGACCTTAAAACAATCGAGCTCCTAGTCTAGTGTCTATTCTGTCTGCATTTTTCAAAAATAAATTAATAGCGTTAAAGTTCACCTGTATGAACTCCAAAAAGTAATACCTACCTAAGCCTTACATACTCCCAAGTCCTCAATTTAGTCATTAATAATGTTTTTACCAATTATTCATCACTCTCGAGAACGTCTCTCTTGATCGCAAGAACATTGTATTGTATTCTTCGGTACAAGAGCTAAAATTTGTTTTTCAATACAACACCTCCATTCTTCTCGTGTTTATGCTAATATATTGCCTTGAATTATTGCCAAAAAGAGTTGTTGGTGATTGTGGTGGTGCCTGTTCTACAATCGCAAAACTGTTGCAAAAAATCGTCCGAATCCTTAACTTTTGACAGATAACGGTTCCAAAGAAAACACGTGCAATGTCCGCGTTATTTATTTGGTTATCTGGAAGACGCCAAAACAAACGTGCACTTACATATACATATGTGCAAGTACAAGTAACGAAATGACGACACAGTTTGTAGGTATGTATGTGTGCATGTATCCATAGAGGTACGAGGAACACTCCTTACTTGGCAGACCATAATAAATTGTTGTATTTTAACAGGGAAAATAATCGAAATCAGCAGGCAGGAATCCTGTCTTGCGAATGAAATGGTTAAAATAAAAAGCCTCGTCGACTACCCACACACTATTTACATTGTGGTAGCACTGCTGTACCAGGGACACACTTTATAAGACGATCATAATGATATTCTCTGTCTTCATGCGAATTTCTGCCAACCGCACCTCCTCACCGTTACCGTAAAGGACTACAATATTATTCCTATCTCTCAATCTCATCTCTACATTTAAACTATTATAAATTAATCATTAATCACGTGGTTGTCTGGCTCCCTGAAATGTCCTCCCGATTTAGTAGATTTTGACTGATTTTCGGTATCTATTAGGAAATCAGATAAGTCAGGAAGAAAGAACAGTAGAGATAAAAAACAAAAGATAGTGGAGAGTCAATTTGCCTTTAACAAAAAGAAGATGGACGGTGCGACGGAATGGAAAAGGTTAGAAGTGCTACAGGCATGAACGATGAAGATACCATGGATTAGAGAAGAGCCGGTCAAACTCGGCTCATTTGACCCCCGAGTGCTCCTCAGGTATAGCCAAGGAGCTCCTCATTGCTCCTGCGAGTGCGAGTGAGATGGTTCTTTCCTTATCTTATCCCTTCCACTTCGTAGGTCAGTCCCCTCTTCCATAGTCGAACCTAATAGTATTGCGAACGTAGTCCGGCATGCTACCCCTGAGCTGCGGGACGATCATTAGAAAATTATCGTGGATATTATTTAAGTTGCGAGAGAGGTTTTACTACGGGATGAAGGTCATTACTGCTTACTCTCTCGTTGAAGGGTATGGAATGATCCAAACTAACTTCAGGTAGCGGCTCCTACGAAGTTAAAGTTTGTCCGGCTCTGGATTAGAGTAGGAAAACAGAGGGCGCTACGGAAGTCAAAAAGAAAGTTGGGAGGACGCCTTCATATATTCTAGAAGAAGCAACAGGAATTAAGAAGAGTAGAGCTAAACC